TCGTACGATGAAAGTGCTTTCGAGTACTCGCCCATGTTATCATACACGGAAGCGATGTTGTTGTAGGAACTAGCCAAGTCAGGATGATTCGGAGGAAGAGCTATTTTTCGGATTTCAAGTGATCTTTCGTACGATGCAAGTGCTTTCGAGTACTCGCCCATGCGAGAATACACTAAAGCTATGTTGTTGTAGGAAACAGCCAAGTCAGGATGATTCGGAGGGAGAGCTATTTTTCGGATTTCAAGTGATTTTTCGTAGGATGGAAGTGCTTTCGAATGCTCGCCCATTTTATCATACACTGCAGCAATGTTGTTGTAGGAACTAGCCAAGTCAGGATGATTCGGAGGAAGAGCTATTTTTCGGATTTCAAGTGATTTTTCGTAGGATGGAAGTGCTTTCGAATACTCGGCCATTTTATCATAAACTGCAGCAATGTTGTTGTAGGAACTAGCCAAGTCAGGATGATTCGGAGGAAGAGCTATTTTTCGGATTTCAAGTGATCTTTCGTACGATGAAAGTGCTTTCGAGTATTCACCCATGTGAGAATACACTGCAGCGATGTTGTTGTAGGAAGCAGCCAAGTCAGGATGATTTAGAGGGAGAGCTATTTTGAAGATTTCAAGTGATCTTTCGTACGATGAAAGTGCTTTTGAGCACTCGCCCATGTGAGAATACACTGAAGCGATGTTGCTGTAGGAACCAGCAAAGTCAGGATGATTCGGAGGGAGTGCTATTTTGAGGATTTCAAGTGATCTTTCGTACGATGAAAGTGCTTTCGAATACTCGCCCATTTTATCATACACTGCAGCGATGTTGTTGTAGGAAGCAGCCAAGTCAGGATGATTCGGAGGGAGAGCTATTTTTCGAATCTCAAGTGATCTTTCGTACGATGAAAGTGCTTTGGAGTACTCGCTCATGTGAGAATACACTGAAGCGATGTTGTTATAGGAAGCAGCCAAGTCAGGATGGTTCGGAGGGAGAGCTATTTTTCGGATTTCAATTGATCTTTGGTGCGATGAACATGCTTTGGAGTACTCGCCCATGTGAGAATACACTGAAGCAATGTTGTTATAAGATGCAGCCAAGTCAGGATGATTCGGAGGGAGAGCTATTTTCTTAATTTCAAGTGATCTTTCGTACGATGAAAGTGCTTTCGAATAGTCACCTCGTTGATATTCGATCGCTCCAAGTTTGTGCAGTACAGCGGCGCGCTCAATGAGAGTAGACGATGTCAGAAGTAGTTGATTACATAGTTCCTCAGCTGTGGTGTAGTTATGGAGCTTGAGCATCAGATGAGCCATACGATCCCAGCCAGTTCCGGCGATTTCTTGCCGTATATAATGTGTCAGAGCAGATAGTTGCGGATCGTTGTCGTTGCTGAGAGTGATTTTTACTTCCCATAAGTTTGTGTTGTTCTGCAGCTGCGTGAGTTCGTTGACACGAAAAACCGTGTGCATAGAAAAGAGAATTTCTTCTTCATCGTGAAATCGACTCATCTCTGTGATGGTCGCAAATGGAGCTGACGGAAGTGATGTTTTAATCATCATTGTGAAGAGAATTCCGACGAAGTCGGGTTCTAGTGCGTTACTTTCGGCAAATACGAGGGAGACATCGCGATTCCGGCTGGTCGATAAAAAGTTATTAAAGGACAGGAGACAACTCTTGGTTTGCTTGAGTTTCGCGAAGTCGACTTTGGACAATCCTTGGCCTCTGTAAACAACAAAATCTTCGCTATTTGTTGTTCTAAATTGTTTTTTGTGCAATTGTTCGAGCTGGCAATGAAGATCTCGAATAAAGAAGCTCATTTTCTTTATTGTTTGTGTGTCCAGTGTCCTAAGTGACCAGTTAAGTGTCTGATAGACAAAAGGCGCATGGATGTACCACGAAATTGTCTTCTGGGGGCTATAATCCTTCTCGAACTCTTTGATGGTATTCAATATTGTCTTATTGTCTTTAGATTTGTCACGCCAAAATTGAATAAAATCTTTGATTTCTTCTTTACTATGATCGATTTCAAGAATAATTTCTTTAAACAATTGTGTGTACATAAATGATGGTTCTAGTTGATCAAGATTTATCTTTGAACAATCTGGGTTGCCGCTGACAAAACTCATGGCGATATCGTTTTGGTAACATTGTTTGATGGCATCTCGCAGTGCCTTACAGAGACGGGTGATATCTGTATATATGCCTTTAATTTTGCTCGAAATCTTGTTCCAATTGTGGATTAGGGCGTCTCTGTTGCAGAAGATGTAAACACTGGCGACACCAGGAATATCATGGACGATGGGTATAATATCTTGATCCTTAGTGTTTGACAGAATGAGAAATGCTTTTTGATCATTGGTGTCAGTGAGAAAATCTACACCTTCGTCGGGTTGGGTGAAAATATACACCTCATCGGTCACGTTTTGTAGCTGTGTGAGTGTAGTTTTACAATTTTCACTGTTGAGGTCAATATTCTCATCGATCCAGATAATCACATAGCTTTTAGTCACACATTGTGTTGGTTCCATGACGTTCGGTAATGGTGTCACATTTGTTGTGATATCCATTGTGGATGTAGAAAGCGTATCATTTCATTTTTGCCCACTTATTTTGAATTTATTTGCCGCTTGATAAAAAAATCAAGAATGGAGAGAAATTGTGTTAAATTCAAGGAGAAATAATTTTTTCTATTGATGCAGCAAGGATCTTTTTTTCTTCGATTTTTTTACGACGCCAAATGTGCTTTTGTTTATTGACATTGAATTGCAAATTGTAGGTAGTCGCAGGTGAAAATTCAGTTGTAAAGAAGAAACGAAAAAGAAAGGGATTCAGTGTCGACATGGATTGCGTTGCTGCTTTTCAGCGAGTTACAAGCAACCATTTTTCTGTCTGATAGGAACGAAAAAGAACACTGCCATGCGTACTTTGATTATTTTCATCTTTCTAAAGATCTTCTGATAATTCCAACGAAAACAAGCATAAAGACAGTCGATTTTAAGGGTATGGGTGTGGGTATGGGTGGGTGTGAGTGTGTGGGTGTGGATAGGTGTGGGAGTGGGGTGTGGGTGTTGGTGTGGCTGGGGTGTGGGTGCGGGGTGTGGGTGTGGGTATGGGTGTGGGTGAGTGTGAGTGTGGGTATGGGTATGGGTGAGTGTGGGTGTGGGTGGGGTGTGGGTGTTTTTGACGAAAAGGCCCACATCCACCCCCACTCACACCCTACATGCACACACACCTCACACACCGACTCACATCCACCCATACCCACGCCCACACAACCACACCTCACCCACCCGCCCACCCACACCCACATCCCACACACCCACCCACCCACATCCACACCCACCCACCCACATCCACACCCACCCACACCCACACCCACACCCACACCCACCCACGCCCACACACCCACATCCACACGCAATAGCATCAAGTCCAACGTTCTTTAAAGCTTTAATTATTCGACTTTCAGGAATTTCGATGTCAACGTTTTTAACAAACGCGACTTTTTCCGTATCTTTAATACGTTGTATAGTTCGGGGTACATATATTTTTGCTGTAGCCTGACCACTTGTGGCAAGAATTGGTGTCAGCTCATTTAAAAGGTGATTAAACGAACTAACATCGCTTGCATATAATGTGAAACTACCTGATCGACTTAGCTGAATATCAGAAATTCGTGAGCCTATTAAATTCTGCTTAACAGCGTCATTTAATTGTAGTTTGTTTAGCTTCACGCCCTGTACAATTGAAGGGGCAAAGCTAAACTTTGATTGGACCTTTGCTCGTGTCTTTGTTCCTACAGAAGCCTTTGTTCCCGCAGAAGCCTTTGTTCTTGGACTATGACTCATGGCCATTGTTCCTCCAACATTAGCTACTGCTGTTTGACCTTGTTGTATGTTAATAGAATTAACACTATTTTGCCTTTGTTTATTAGCACCTGTCTCTCCTTTTTTTGGAGGCATAATTAAGATATCACCTAATGCAAAAACACCTGGAGATAATTACCTTAATTAATATTTCCAAAAATAATTTGAAAATTGTGCGAAATAATTAATTAATGACAAAAATAAAATCGACGAGTTAAGCAAAGGAATGTACGTAACCGACGAAAATAAGATGCGACTTATCTCGACCGTGTAAAAGGGACGAAAGATTTTTGATACTTGAATGACCTTAATTTGAAGTTGTTTTTGTCTAAAGGCATACAGAGTCTACATGATCGTTGGCAGCGTGCGGTTGCTTGTGAGGATCAGTGCATTGAACAAATGAAGGAGAACAGCGTCAAAAATGCAACACTATCAAAATACTATGAACCGAAATAGCACGTTACTCAACTCTTCAAAGGTAACCAATGAAAAATTCGTTGCTGCAGACTTCCCATTAATCAGGTATGATAAATATCAAGTGAATATTTTGTCAAAAATGTCATATTTTTCTTATTAACTCAAGATACAATTTTCCTTTTCTCTAATGTTGCTCTTATTATAAAATGATCATTAAGTATCGTCTCGTGGAAAATTTTTTCGCAAAAGAAATACACTTAGGATTTGAACTGGTTCAACCGCTTCAGACATAATAATGTCTTTATTTGATTTCAAATTGAAATGTATAACTAATGAGAATATTTTGATGAGGAAAATATTTTATTTATAAATAAGATGAAATATTTCAATATATTCGATTAAACAAGTGGATAACTAGCCATAGTTGCAATTCCACATTGATTATTCTTATTTCTACTCATCCAAACATAACCTTGATTACCCCATTTAGTTGTCCATTGATTTTTAAGTATGTAATAATCTAAATTATCTTTTGTTGTATCATAGCCAACAGCCAAAAGAGAAAAATCAAGTAATGTTGTTGAACAGCTTGCTTCAGAATAAACGCCTGATGAATAAAAACGAAATGAATCATGATCAGCATCAATAGCTACTGCTATCGGACCCACAGTTGCAAGTGCATATTGAAGATCTATTTCTGATTGAGATTTTATATCAAAAAAATCCTTTAAAAATAATTTATTTATTTTTTTAATTCATATTTCAATACTATACATACAGTAACATTTGTAACAACATTTTTAATATTAAATCGACAATTTGAATCTTTGGCTTCATAAGGATAACTATCTTCAGAATCAATACCATTATTATCTTTAATCTTGAAATGATGGGTCAATAAGTCCACCTTCACAACCATTATTGCCATATTTTGTTGAACAATCAACAAGTTGTTGTTCAGATAAAGAAATAAGATTTTTAGATTTTTTAGCATGTTGTCCTTCAAGTGAACCAGTTGTTGAAAAAGCCCAACATGAACCACATGGTCCTTGATTTTTAACTGGTGTTACATAACCTTTTGTACGCCAATCTAGTTTATTTTTTTTTTATAAAAATAATTATTTAATGAAACAAAATTATTTTACCAACTGATGATGGAAGAACAATATTTGATGGAATATCAAATTTTTTGTTTTCTCTTTTTTGATCATTTATTTTTAATGTATTCATTTTTTTAACAAATTCTTCAAGTGTCTATTTAACAGAGAGATACTAATCAGAAATAAATAACAAGAGAAACTAACGAGATCAGCAAATTGATTAACTTTCATAGTGTATGTATGCATACTTAAATCAGCTTCTAAATTATGTCTTTGAATCATTTCAACATTTTTTTCCCAAATAACTCGTCTGCAAAAATGAATTTATTTTCAATTCAAGTTTTAATTATTATTTTTACCGAGCTTGTTCATCATTAATTGAACCATATTGTTTGTTATAGATATGTTTGAATAGTGTCCATGATTGATCTAATGATGATAATGTTGGATTGCTAAAAGAAATGGTGATGAAAAACACCAGGATTATATATAAATCGAGAATATGTTTCATTTTTCTTTCAACTAAATATTGAATACATGTGTGTTTATTCACTTATAATAGAGTTTTACTTTGTCATTTGATGATATTGCATTTGATAACGATAAAAATTCTTTCATATTCTTTATGAAATATATCACTTTTTAAAAAGAATCAGTGGGCCAGTTTCTTTTTTATCTTTTTTCTTATTTATTTTATGTCAGTTCGATTTTAGCTTATGTTTTTTTCTCTATATTAATAAAAACAAATAAATTGAAGTTATGTTTCTCAACTGCAAAATAATTCATCTTCATTTTTTAACAAAATACAAAAAAAAGTGTCAAAAAATATATGTCATATCATTAAATTGATTATATCGGGTGTCGCAAATTAAATAAGCCACTTTTTTTTCTAAAAATCTCATTTAATATTCAAAACAGAGAATTTTCTGCTCTATAAAATGGGTGTGGGTGTGATATTTCTCTTCATTCCTATCATGTCACACCCACACCCACCCAAACCCATCCACGGCCACATCCACGGCCACATCCACGCTCACACCCCAACCACACCCTATCAGGAAGTTATTGAAGAATACATTTTTATGTAGACAAAGATAAATAAACAAAGGCATGGAGCTAGTGTGACGTGCTGATGATTGCACTATCAATATCACCAAATACATGCCGTGTAACTCATAAGATTTGGCTGTTCTAGTTACTGTTTGATTCTTGACAAGATTTCTGCAACTGGTGGTTATCAATCTTTTCCCCATGCAACACATTGCTATAAGATATCTATTAATAGTACAATGCTGATCTTCTCGATGACGTACACAGTTACAGTGTCTTAGTAGATAGCAATGATTTCAATTGAATCCTTCACAACTGGTCGTAACAACTGAAATATTCTGCATTCGAATGGAGAATCGTACTGTTACGCATGATTTATTTAATGCTATGGTCAATCTTAAAGGGTTGAATGTTGTTTGCGACGATGATACGCATTGCAGAACGGACAGTCTAGTCTCATCAACCAACCAATGAACTTATCGAAAGGTTTGCAACGTAACCTACGACTGATATATATAATTACAAGAGCTATCAAATGCAACACCCACACCCACACCCATCCTTTCTCGAACTTACTCCGTCGACGCGTAGTAGACATGGCGATGTGATATTTTCAATTTTCAATGGATTCTATATCGTCAAAGTTTAATTAAACCCGTTGTGTCTCTCTTTCAAGGTGGTTTGTTAACCCTGCACGAATTATGAAAAAATTGAAGGAACATTTTCGTAGGTATGGTTCTGCTGCTACAGTTTTGGTTTCAGATGATCAAAAATATGAAAGGGACTTCATCTCTATATATAATGAAAAGCTTTGACTATCTTAGTATACATTTTCGATTAGTTAATGTTTTATTGTGATATTAATCTGCGAATCTCTTGGATAAGATAATAATTTTGACCTACATCAGGATGTGTTGAAGGCAGTGAATGACAATAGATTTTATCTGCTTTTAAGAAGTAGTCCAACGCAATTTTATAATTGTGTTTTTTATAATAAACTTTTCCAATATTGGTCAATGTTGTCGCTATTTCATAATGATGAGGTGGCAAATATTTTTGACGAATTTCTAATGTTCTCTGTAAATTCAAAAGAGCATCATCGTACTTTTGTTGATATCGGTATGTGTTACCAATATTAAAATATAATCGTGCAACTTCAAGATTATCATCACCATTAATTTTTTTATTGATTTCTAGTGATTTATAAAAATATTTCAATGCTATCTGATGATCGCGTCGGTCCTTATATGCATTTGCCAAATTATTATAAGTTTCAGCTACGTTATAATCATTATTCGGTAGTGACAAATCAATCATCAATGCTTTTTCATGATATTCAATTGATAGATCGTATTTTTTTACAAAATTAGCCACTCTACCAATACCTACAATAGAAAAATCATATCATGAAAGTGTCATTTTTTTGCCTCTTTATTCTCGTACTGTTACCTGTAAAACATCGTGCAGCTTGTACAGTATTTTTATCTTTATCATCCAATTCCTTCAATACTCGTTCGTAACATTTTAATGCTTTGTCATATTCAGCCATTCGTAACAATAGGTCAGCTAAGGTAACGAGACTTGGTGTTTCATCTAAATTGTGCTTCATATAATCCGACAACTGTTTTAATTCTGCATCATATTCACTTTCTAATCGAATGTTGATGATTGACACATCATCTTGTTTCGTAATACTTTGTATTTTGAAGATAGATCCTAACATAAATAGAACTTCGGCTTCTGTTTGGAAATAACTATACGAAGAAATATTTGCATATGGTTTCACATTTTTAACTAAGGGATCAATATCAATTTCAAAAAGTATCTTTTCCTTATTTGCAGTAGGAATCGATGGAATAAATCTAAGTGCCACTTCTCGATCCAATGATGTTGAAAGGAAACTATTTAATGATAAATGTTGGCCAATAATCGATTTTATTCCATCAAGTTCGTGAGTTGGTAAAGCTTGACCACGATAGACACGTGTAATCGATTCAAGATGACTAGTCATCAAATATAATTCTTTTAACTGTTGATACAAGTCACTGATAAAAAATCGAAATGCAATCAACATATCAATGTCCTGTGCCCTGAGAGCTTTGTTTAACAGTTTGTAGAGAAAACACTGTTTTGTATACCACCACACAGCTGTCTCTGGCGTGTAGGTCTGTTCAAATTCTTCAACATTTCTTAACTCCAATTTATTTCCATCGTATATTTGTTTACATAAATTAATTAATTCTTCACGATCATTATCTCTACGTTTCATTCTTAATAGTACTTCGATACATACTTGTGACCATAAGAAGTCACCATTTAATTCAGTAGATGAGTTTTGTTTGGTATCAGTGAATGAAGAATAAGAAGCAGCTGCAGCAACACTACTTGTAAAACTGGACATAGAACTACTACTGATTGCTTCTAACATTTCACGTTCATTTTGATCATTTGATATTTTTGTCACTAATTCATCAGACTTTGTAATGATCCCACAAACCTAAATTAATCTGTAGGTGTGTTCAATTTTTGATCGTCATCGTCGTTAAACAACGACGAAATGTCATTCTTTATTGTTTCATGAAAAATAAAAAAATATTTTGTGCAAGTTGAGGAAATGATTCATAGAGAATTGATAGAAATGGTCCAATATGAGTTTCAGACAGAACATATATTTAGTTGTAAAAGAATAAAGACTACGAACATACAGAAGATGTCAAATGAACTACACATGTAATTGATACATATTCCGGGTGCAATCTTAAACATAAATTAAATTATCTGAACCTTGGCCACCTACTGAGATCTCAATGACGAATAACGAGCTAGCCCTTTGGCAGCTCAGTGTATGTCTATCTTCAAAAAATACATGAAAATGATAAAACACAGATATTTCGTACCCCCTGCTGAGATGTGCTAAATTGACAACTTTGATATGTTCTGAAAGATTTGAAAGTCTACTTTTATCCAAACGTGACAATCACAAAGTTCCTTTATATTTTAGAATTTACTGTAAAGTATGATTCAAATTATAGTTATCGAACAATGAGAACGATACTATGTCTTACTACTAAGTTTTGATTACAAACTTACTTTCTGTTTATAATTTTCTAACCATTTTTTATTTGTCATTTTGACTCGACAATAGACATAGATCGCAACCAATTGTGGTAATTCATAAATACGTGGCACAATTTCACATCCATAACTGTCAGAAACAATTAATATGATTTTCTCTTCTGCACTCTGTTGTATTCTTCGTCCAATCCATTGTTCACATTTTTTAACATCATCAAATGTTTTAATAAAATTAATTGATTTTCTCAGTTTTTGTTGTGTTTTCCGATTATTTTCATTAGCATTTACATCTTTTTCAAGCCAAATTAACGAAAATATTTCAAAGTTTTTGTCATCCTTGTCAGTCGTTGTTGTTGATAATAATAAGTCCAACCTATTAGCTGTTGCCATATTTGGAGTGCAACTAACGTTCTTTTTCTTATACTTCCCAATCTAAGAGTAACTAAAATAAAGTTTAATACAACAATATCCACTTTTGAGTTTTCTATGGTTTAATTTTATCCACTTGTTTTTTAAATATACCACGCAAGCAGACAAAAAACATGAAAATACCGCGTGATAGCACTATAGAAATTTCGATCGTTTTCACATGTTAATTGTGGTTCTCGATTGTCATCCGAAAACGTTCAAAAAAATGCAGCATGAAAACGATTATTGCATATATGGACTAAAATTTCTGACAGTTTATTCGTTACAAATTCACTCATCTCATGAACTTCACAGTAACTTGACTTGACACTATTCGATTTCTTTTGATGAGAATGTATCAAAACAAATCTCTATGACACAACTATTCAAGGTCTGAATGATTCCGGCATCTAAATAAAACTGAGAATTGAAATCATTGAAAAGAACTTCTATATACAGTTTTCTTGAAATAGAAGAAAATGCAAATTGTTCTTTTACTACTGCAGATGATATCGCTGAAGGGTGCTTTTAAAGTTTGTTCATAAAAACAAAAGCTGGACGGACTCATTTTTCATATAAAAGAAATTAGGCAATATAGCTCAATTAATAGTGAAGTTATACAAAATTACTTTTGGAAAGGGTTTCTTAAGATCTCTGTAGTTAACTGATTGCCTAACTGCTCATTTAACAACCTGTGTATCGAACCTTGTATCAGACGGGAAAATTTTTCATTTTTGGGACAGAGTCTGCACCTATGCTACGAACTATCAAACATTTATCAATCGATCGTTCAAAAGATAACTCGATCATTGGAATCGATTTCAAGTCTGTTTTCATCATGTCTAATGCGTAGATCATGTTAACGATATGTGTGCATTATTTAATCCCTTCGGGACGGGTCAAGTATGTTTACGTGGCGACTCTGGATGAACTCATAATTCACTTATAGGTGTTTCTTATACTATTTTTTTGACCATGTAAAGAAAAGATACCACGGGAGATGAGAGCAATGTCGATCCATGATCACCGTTCTCAAACAGACCAGAGACATATTATAAAAGACACTTATAAGTGAATTATAAGTTCGTGCAGAGCCATCACGTATATATACGTGATCCGTCCCGAAGGGGTTAATAAACTTATTTCTGATCTTAGTGTTATTCTGATAAGTTACTCACAAGAACGAAATGAACAAAAACCAATCAATAAAGAAAATTTTGTCTTGAGGTCCTGCTGAATAGATATGGTATTGTATATGTAATATTGCCTGCTTGTTTTGGTGAATGATTCTTTTTTTTTACGGTTGCAGCAAGACGAATTTATTCGTTTCTTATCACTCGTTATTTTGTGTAGTTGTTACTTTTTCTTTTTAGTTTTTTTCATTACACGCTCTATCGCGAACATATTTATATAAGGTGCACATGTTGCGCACGAAACAATTTGCCAGAATGGTTTGCTTAAAGTGCATATTGCTTGTGAAATAACATCAAAACTATTTATACTTCAAAAGATATCGAAAAGCAAATCGTAGTAGAAATAAATCAAATTATTTTTGTTTTGAGACACGTAATATGTTATGGTCATGTATTAATGTATACTAATAAAAATCTTTAAAGCAACAAATTGCAATCGATATTCTCATATGCAGTTGATATACAGCTATTACAATCAAACACACTTCTCTTCATATACTTCGAACATATTATTCTTCAAAACAAAAATCTAGTTTAATGATATTAGAATATCAACAGAATTGAATGCTTAATAACAACAGTATATAATCTAATGAATACGATATATATATATATGCAATTGCTTACAAATTAATAGCTTAATGTACTCCAGAAAATCTCGTTGTACAAAGTTCGTAAATTGCGAATAATTCAATAGAAATACTACAATACAAATATCTAAAATAATTTTCCAAGTCTGTCAAAACCTTAATAAGAATGAGAGTGTAATGTTACTCACATTCCATGTTCTTATACTCATATCCTATCTCGTTATGATAGTATCAGATATTCGTGTATCTCTTATTCTCAAGAATCAATATTGGAAATTGTACTATGCGTAAAAGCAAACTGCGATCTTATGTTTAAAGCTTAGACTAGAAGACACTAGATAATCTGACTTATAGACAATGAACTAATCTCGTTGAGAATTTTATTTGTACAAATTTTAAATTTAAATTTGAAAATCGATGTTGAAGATGATTTGAAGGAGATCATGAGTTTTCTTTAGGAAAGCTTATTGAAATGGTCATAACTCAAAAAAAAAACAACCGTTGAATATAAATTCTTGTAAACGTCTTCTATACTGTCAATAGGGCGAAATCAATGAGAGAAGACTTCTCTCAAACTATTCTACTGTTGTCAACAATCATAAATGTGAATAATCATATCAATCACTATGTCTGATCATTTGTCTCCAACCACCATTTGATTATTACTTAATAAAGTACTTGTCAATTTAAAGAACAATTTAACGATTATCAGAGAATCTCTAACTTTATCTTTGGTCAATTTCATTAATCGAAAACATGTATTTTTCGTCTTCTACCATGTTTTTAACAATATTTCAAAATTTCTGTTCATAAATGAAATAATATTTTGTTGTTTTTATTTTTGTGTCTCGAGAAATTTCTGTTGAATCTATTTATCCATCACTTAATATTGGTACTTAAAAACGTTCATCAGAATTAATTCTTGAATTTGAATGAAATAAATCTGTTCACGTTGAATGGTACCGTTTTTCAATACAATTAATATCTTATACTAATGCACAACGAATATTTTTTTAAATATTATGCTCTCATACATTATTGAATTACAAGAGGTATTGCAATGTATGCTCAAGGAACATATAAGTGTCTTTGTCCACCAGAACACATTGATTCATCATGTAAAATTCATGTTAATGAAGTATCGTTAACTACTGTGCAAGATTTTAATGATGATTAAATATTAAATATCCACTTAAATTATATTAATTTATAAAAGTACAAATGGTTTAAAGATAATATTCTTATTGAAAATGATGGACATTTCATATAAATGAAGCAAAACTTCAAGTAAATACAAATATAAGAATAAATAAATTATCTATTTATTTTACACATCATTTAAAAGATATATCAACAATTAAAGAAGATGCATCCTATTATTACCTTGATTGTGAAATAAATAAAGACAAAAAAATTGCATTATAGTTTAACAATAATGATCAACAAATATTAACATCAAATAATAAAATTGAAGTAGAATTTCATGGACTTATACATTCTTTAGGATTTGGGTGTGGATGTGGTATGATCTTTTGTTATGCCATACCCAGACCCACATCCACATCTACACTGACACCCACACATCCACACTCACCGCTGTTTTGCTCGACCCGGGTAACTATGTTTTTTCTTTGCTCATTTTGAAGAGTAGACGACATTGAACAAAATAAGACGTTTTCGAACTTTCTAATATATCGAACAATATATTACAAGACGAAACAAAATAGAAAATCTATACCTTGAAAATATTTCAGTCAATTTCATGTCAAAAACTAATGAAACAGACTCTTATTTTTCTTTATCACCCACCGTATTTGTCTGATATGTTAGAGAGCTCGAAAACGTCTTATTTTGTTCAATTTCGTCTGCTCTTCAAAATGAGCAAAGAAAAGAAATACTTACTCCTCTTTTTCAGTAGCCTCTGAGCAGCTTCTTGATGATCACTAGCATTTTTCAGCAAAATACTTGGATACAGAAAGTATTTGTCTTCTATGATCTTGACACTGAAAACATATCAGTTATGCTCAGTTTTTATGACCATTCCAATGGCACTATTTGCATTCGAATAAAAGTTTACTGATGAATAAAGAATGATTCAAAAGTTTCGATCCCTCTCAGCAAATCGATGATATCTATGACAAACTTATATGAAGTTATTGATCAAATTATGTCATTTTATAGAGGAAGATTGAAGCTATCATCTGAAAAAACCTAGTTCGAAATACATAACTTTATTACAATTTTATGGTCATTTTACTAATCTTGAGTGAAAATTTTTACGTTACACTTTTTGAAACACAGCAAAAAAGCCTTTAATGTGTGAGTCGTTAAAGTCGAGCCACATATTATTTTCTACATGTTCTTAATAGATATCTTTATATGGCTCGATAGAGTTCAACAAGCTCTACAAGTATATGAGTATCAAGAAGAATTTGAACCCTATTCCCAATATGAAACTCAAAAGAAACCACGCAGATTAATAAGAATCTTACATACCTTGCATCAGATAGTAATGCTTAACTTTCAAAAACTTTAGCTGGTCGACTGTTAATTGATGTTTTCAGATGGAGTGTCACATGCTGAAACTTAAAATAACTCTCTTGAGCAGCGTGAATAGATAGAATAGTCAACTAGCTAAAACTTTTGAAAGCTAACCTTACTTTCTTTAATATTTGATACATGAAATTTTTATTAGTCTTTCTGGTTTCCTTCAAGTTTTATATTGAAAATAAGACTGAAACTTTTTTAAACATTCATATTCTTGTAGAGCTTATCGAATTGTATTGAATCATGTAAAAATATCTAGAAAACAATATGTCGCTTAAAATGTTACAAGCATATTTTATTTTTGCAAAAAATGTAACGTAAAAATTTTCACTCAAGATTAGTAAAGTAACCATAAAATTGTAATAAATTCATGTATTTTGAACTAGATTTTTTTTAGATGATAGCTCTAATCTTCCTCTGTAAAATGACATAATTTGATCAATAACTATATATAATTTTGTTGTAGATATCATCGATTTACTGAGAGCGGTCGAAACTTTTGAATCACCCTTTAGGATGAAAATTGTCTCGAAACTATTTTTGCTGCTGAAGATTTTGTTTGATACTGTTCTTTCAGGATCAAAGGATAATAATCCATTTGCTCTATAAAATATCAAAGTTTAATGAATAACAGTGCTAAACATATGATTAA